TTTTTTTTAATTTTAAAAAAGAATCAAAGTTGATTTATAGAGCAAACATAAGACCCTTAGGAAAGCTAGTCTCAGACCTTGTCTACACAGTCCCTGTGCAGCCTTCCCAACCTGCAGTAAGTAAAGAATGGCACTTTCTGACAGGCTCAGGAGCCCTAAATTGTCTTGGGGCCTCAAGGTGAGGAATTCACCAAATTACACAGGAAACAGATTTCTTGGTATGCCTAAGGTCATACAATAACCTTCCAATCCCCTCATTTGATGGATGAAGTAATGTATCAAAACTACATTCCATGCAAACACAGAATTTTAGCACAAACCAAATTACTCACAGTTTTGATTCAAACACATTCACATGGCATTCTCATGTAATTATGACTCCAGTGCCTGGAAAACAGTGTCCTGGACACTGTCACCAACCATCTGGCCACTTCTCTCAGGTCTTATATTTCATAAGACTCCCATGCATGTCAATACATTTGTTTGCCTTTTCTCCTATTAATCTGCCTTTTGTCAGTTGATTTTTGAGTGAACCTTCAGAAAGAGAAGGCGAAGTTTACCCTTGGTCTCTATACTGCATTTTGCGTATCCATCCATGCATGAATGGACACTTGGGTTGTTTTCATATCTTGGCCACTGTGTATAGTGCTGCAATGAACATGGGAGTGCAGATATCACTTCATGATCTGATTTTAATTCTTTTGGACATATACCCAGAAGTAGAATTGCTGGATCATATGTTAGTACTATTTTAAATATTTTTAAAACCCCATACTATTTTCCATAGCTGCTGCAACAAACAGGTATATTTCATGTACTCTATCCTATACATTGTGCTTAGCACAGAGGACACAAGTAAGACCAACCCTGCCTCAGGAAATGTAAAACCTGTTTATGGAGATATATATAAAAGGTAATAGCAGTTAGAGTGGTAAGATGTTCAGTGATGTTACTTACAAGATGTTAAGGGAGCACTGAAGGGAGTTGGTAAAGGTTTCTTGTGGCTGAAGAATGCACAGTAGCTGGCCAAGTTAAGAAGGGTATGACAGGTGGATTAGAAAGAGGAAAGAGATGAGCAGAGAGTTGTCCAGAACCATGGAGCTCCAGAGAAGACCACCCCCACAAACACACACCGCTGATTGTCAATTGTGCCCTTTATGCCTGGTTGCATCCAGTACCACCACGCCCAGCCAGGACACCCAACTAATCTCATGCCTTATACAGCTCTCAACAGCTCACACTGACCTCATCTCCTGCTTCTCCCTGACTCCTGAAACACTTCGCTATGGGTTCACTGATGCTTTATTCATGTTCAATCATTATCAAAATCCCTTCTTGGAATATTTCCTTCACTGCTTATTTTACTAAAACATGCTTTGCCCAAGATCTGCTTCCTCCGTGGCCCTCTCAAGTGGTGGCTATTTCCTAGCTCCCCAGCTGTCCACACTGGGCCCTGGAGATAGGGCAAAGTCCTCTTTGTTTGTGTTTGTTTGTTTTTGCTGTTTCAAGACCATGCTCGTCCCTCCCTCCTCTCCTCTTAAAAAAAATAATAAACAGCTTTTGCACTCACATCAACAGATGATCCCCCACTTTCCCCTCCTTATTGCAATTAGCTATACCTTCCAGGTCATTCTTTGTGTTTTAAGACTGTAGTTCCCAGCTCACTGTCACTCTCACCAACACAGTCTTGTTACTTTTTTTCCGTTGTTTTTCACTTGTGTGTCTTAGTTCACCCTTGCTGCTACAACAAAATACCACAGACTGGGAAATTTATAAATAATAGAAATTTATTTCTTACAGTTCTGGAGGATGGATGTCCCAGATGAGGTACCAGCAGGTTCAGTGTCTGGCAACGATCTATTCCTCATAGGTGGTACTATCTAAGTGTTCTCATAGAGGCAAGGATGGAAGGAAGTGGGAGGCAGCTCTCTGAAGCCTCTTGGTTAAGGCATAAACCCTACCTACTCACTTAAATGCCCACCTCTTAATCACAATGGTAATTAAGTTTCAATGCATGAATTTTGAGGGACACATTCAGATCCTAGCAATGTGGATGATGCCCTAACACCAAGTGCTTTCATGTCTAACCTCGTGAATGACCTTGTTCTCCCCCATCTCAGCTACCCATTTCCGTGGTCATTGCCTCAGTCTTGTCCTTACCAATAACAGAAACCTCTTCATAATCTCAGTTTCAACAATCTCCCTCTCTGACCATCACTCATTACCTTTCTTGCTCACTAGGCAACCCTCCTCTAACAATTTTTCAATCCTACTGCCCTTCATGCATTGATCTTATTCTCCATGTCTTCATGTTCTCACTTGCATCCTTTCCTAGCTTAACTTTCTTAGTCCGTTGTTATAATCACTTCACTTTCGGCTTTCTTAAACTCACATGGAAAAAATCCTAACTTGTTTAGATCCAAAATTCTACTTATTCCATACCTGCATCCAAGCAAACTAAGCCTTGTTGGAGAAAACCACATGATCATGCTGACTTGTCTGTTCAATTGGTGACTACAAGCCGTAAGTAGACCCTTAGTGTTGCCTACCAATTCTATGACATTTGCTGGTTCTATTCAATCTTCCGATCTTCTAGATGAAAATTTTATACCTTCTCTTCTCTCCTCAAATCTCTAATATTTCTTTCCATCATCACTCTCAGCTAACTTTGTTCCTGCTTCACTAGAGTCAGCTACAGAGAACTTCCACATCCTCTTCCCACCACATGTACTCATCTACCTGTATCTGTACCACACATTACATGTTTCATTGTGTTCCTAAGCCCCCGCCCCTATCTAAAGCCAAATCCTCCACTTATCCCCTAAATCCTACCCACTGTTTCTTACTTAAGGACATTGCCAAAGCAACTATTCCCTTCTTCTGCTGTATCACCAAATTTTCCTGTTCTACTGAATCATTCCAAAAGGACACCTATTTTAACTTCCTCCAATCTTGACTTCATATCCACTTCAATCCACCATTCTGCTTCTCTGCTCCCATTTGCAGCCAAACAGGAAAAGTTGCATTGTGTCCAATTCCTCTTCTCTCATTATCTTTTTTATTGAGATAATACTATAAAATTCAAAATTTTAAAGTGTACAATTATGCGGTTTTAGTATATTCACAAGATTGTACAACCATCACATTAATTCCAGAGCATTTTCATTGTTCCAAAAAGAAACCTCATACCCATCAGCAGTTACTTCTTATTTCCTCCTCCGCCCAGACTCTGGCAAGCCCTAACCTACTTTCTGTCTGTATGGATGTGCCTAGTCTGATCATCACATATAAATGCGATCATACAGTACCTGGCCTTTTATACCTGGCTTATTTCATTTAGTATGTTTTGAGTTTGTCCACACAGTATCACTTATTAGTACCTCATTTCCCCATTTTTTAGCTCATTCCAATCAGGCCTGCTATGATCAGTCACCTTCTTGTTGCAAAATCTAGTGACTAAGTCTCAATCCTCATCTTATTTAACCTGTCAGCAATATTTGACACAGGTGATTCTCCTCCTTGAAGAACTTTCTTTGCTTTGTTTCCAGGACCCCACATTCTTTTGATTTTCCTTCTAGTTCACTGGCCATTTCTCTTTATCATTCTTCATGGGTTCCCCATTAAGTCCCTGATCTCTAAATGTTCAAGTACCTATGGGATTGATCCTTGGATCTCATCTCTTCTCTATCCACCCTCATTCTCTTAGGGATCACATCCAGTCTTGCAATTTTAAATTACATCTGCATTCTGACAATCCTCAAACTTCCATTTCTCACAAGAATCTCTCCCCCAGCTCCAGAGATGGAACTTGCTCAAGGTGTCCACTTGAATGTCTAAAGTCATTAGACTCTGCAAATCTAAAACCCACTGCTGAAGTCACCACCAAATCCTGCTCCTCCTCAGTCTTTCCCATTTCAGTTAATAGTAACTCTATCCTCCTTACTGCTCGGGCCAAAATCTTTGACTTCACCTGAGATTTCTCTTTCTTTCATATATCCATGCAAGAAAATCTTCTTGACTCAACTTCTAAAACATATACACAGTTAAAAAAATTCTCACTACCCTCACTCCATCTGTACTAGTCAAAAGCATTATCCTGGGTTATTGCAATGACCCTGTAGTTGGTCTCTCTGTTTCAGACCTCTGCCCCTTCCTCCCAATACTATTTTCAACATAGCAACCCAAACAATTCTTTTAAAAAATAAGTTGGATCATATCACACTTCTGCTCAAATCCTCCAAATGACTTTGCATCTCAGAGTAGAACCACAGTTCCTTCCAATGACTGACAAGGTCCAAAACAAAATGACTTTCGTTGCCTCTCTGACCTCATCTCCTGCTCTCAGCCACCTCCCTCACTCCATTCCATACAAAGTTGCTACCCTTCAAATATTTCAGGCATTCCCCTGCCTCAAGACCATTGCATTTAATGTTCCCCTTGCCTGTTCTCTTCCTCCAGATTACCTGCATAGTGTACTCCCCTTTTCAAGTCTTCACTCAACTCCTCCTCAGTGAACCATCTTTGAAATTTCTATTTACTCTCCAGCCTTCCCTGTACCCTTTCCCACCCAACTCTTTCCCATGCCATGTTCACCATCTTATATACTGTATATTTTACTTTTGTGTTTATTGTATATCTGGCCCCTCTAGAATATCAACTCCACACAGGCAGGAGTTCTTATGTGGTTTGTTCACCAACATATCATAGTGTCTAGCTCAGTGCCTGACACAGTCAACCCTCAGTATGTGCTCATTAAATGAGCAAGCAAATGAGGTTCTCAGGCCCCAGCTCAAACTGGAAACCTTAAATTTACACTCTCATGCTCTCTCGTTAGTCTAGGGAGACAGTGAAGGTGGACTGTAGAACGGATTGAAGTAGTGGCTGGACAAGCATGTTAGGGGGAATATAGGTGAGTTGTGGTTATTAGTGATAAAGTCATTCACGGGATCACCATGGTAACCAGTCTCGGTAAGGAAAAAAAACGAAGGCACAAAAGGAGATGACAGACCAGGTGAAAATGCTATATTTTAGGGTACGAGGAGTTCTGTGAGGCTGAAGATTAAAGACTTAGAAAGATACAAAGTCGTGATCACAGAGTGAGATTCAGAGTTCAAATATCAGAGGTATGTCCATTATTGGTGTTGACAAGGTACAATGTATCCAGATATGAGTGACTGAGGGCTATGAGATAGGGCATCTCTGTGGACAATGAAGCACCTTAGGTTCCTGGAAGAAGTCTCCATCTCTTTACTTGTCTTCTTTTCCCTCTGGAAAATCAGTCATTCCTGGGCCATAACTGCTGTCTGTGGCCTGAAATTCCCAAATCTGCACCACAATGAACTCCAATTCCACATTTCCAGTTGCTCCCTTATAGATGAGAAGTTTCCTTACTGGTCCATAAGCTCCCTGAGGAATTAAATGGTAACTCATTCACTAACATTTATACTCCAGCACCTAATCTACTGCCTGCTTACTGGTAGGTAGTCAGTAATTTTTTTTCAGTGAATGCCTCATATGTACATCCATTTCATGTACATGTCAAATAGTTTATAATTTTTCCAAATATGTTTATAAGCATACATAAACAAGCATGTCTGTGTATGTGAGACAAAATGCAAACAATCATTATTGAGGTGTACTAAATCATGTCAATTTTTAATTTTTTCTATATAATTTTTGGCATTTCTTGAATCTTTATGATTAGTATATTTTGCTTTTAAAATCTGGTCAGGAGCCATTTTCTTTTTTTTTAAGTAAAGAGATGCTAAGTTTATTATCGTCAAATCAAAGTCACCTCCATTCTTCCTGTACTTGGGCTGGAAACTTTGGCATTGTCTTCAAAGCCTGCTTCTCCTACATAATCATATTCCATCATTTACGAAGTTCTACATGTTCCTCCTTAGTCTTTATCTCTTGCTTCCCATTTCCTCTGCCTCCATTATTTGCCTAGGCGGCCAATACCTCACACTTGGTATCTCAGCCCGGGCAGGCGGTGTTCTCCTGCAGTAAGCAATTTAAACTCCCGGTGGCAAAGAGCAGCAAAGGTTTGTTTCCCCCTCATGATACACGCTCATTATGGGTTGCTTGGGAGTTCTGCTCCTTGTCTACATACTCTGGGACCTAAAGCTGATCAGACAGACAATATCTGGAGCCTGACAGTCACTGGGGCAGAGAACAAGAGCGCTCAGGAGGATCTCATGCTGGCAGGCAGCCACTTTCACCTAGGGGTGACACACATCTGCTCACAACTCATTGGCCAGAGTACTCACATGGGAGCCAAGAAGTGGAATCATGCCATGTGCCTGATAGGAAGGAGAAATGGAAATATTTAGCAAACAGAATTAATATATACACTTGTAGAGCGCCTACACTTGAAAAAGCCTCCTGCCTCAAAACTATCCTGTTTACCTGGCCTCCTGGGTCACTGGTTTAAAGTCACAAGGATTAGGCTCCAGACTTAACCCCTCATTTATTAGTTGAGTGATCACAGTGATTTAATTTCCTCAGATCATTGTTTAGTAATAACTTCTCCCTACCTAGATTTCTGAGAATACATAAAATATTGAATGTGAACTCTTACACAAATTTACAGTAACAAGTTGAAATAACCTAACGCAACATTAATTCAATGGCTGGCTCATGAAGCTGATGGCATTTTTTATGACACATACTACGATGCCTGGGGGTGTTGGAGGTGGGAGGAGATTATCTCCAATGAGGCTCCTCAGTGCTGTAAAGCACTTTCTTTGCTGTCATCTGAGGAGGTGCTTTTGGATGGCCTGCATCATGCTTTACTTAGAATGCTACCCCCTTCAGTCAGCTTTGTGCACCCTGCCTCTTACCGTGAAACCCTCAGGTCACATGGCCTGAACTGTCATGGGCGTCCGTGTGAAGAGACCACCAAACAGGCTTTGTGTGAGCAACATGGCTGTTTATTTCACCTGGGTGCAGGCGGGCTGAGTCCGAAAAGAGAGTCAGCAAAGGGAGATAAGGGTGGGGCCGTTTTACAGGATTTGGGTAGGTAAAGGAAAATTATAGTCAAAGGGGGGTTGTTCTCTGGCGGGCAGGAGTGGGGGTCACAAGGTGCTCAGTGGGGGAGCTTTTTGAGCCAGGATGAGCCAGGAAAAAGAACTTCACAAGATAATATCATCGCTTAAGGCAAGGACTGGCCATTTTCACTTCTTTTGTGGTGGAATGTCATCGGTTAAGGCGAGTTTTAACCTCTTAAAACTCCCCAACTCTGGTGCCAACTTGGACAACATTCTTTTATGCACTCCTTTTTAGTTATCCCCACCTGCCCAGTTCCCTTATTAGGCCGAGACATTTTAACTAAATTATCTGCTTCCCTGACTATTCCTAGGCTACAGCCACACCTCATTGCTGCCTTTTCCCCCAGTTCAAAGCCTCCTTCACATCCTCCCCTCAGATCCCCCCACCTTACCCCACAAGTATAGGATACCTCTACTCCCTCCTTGGTGACTGATCATGCACCCTTTACCATCTCATTAAAACCTAATCACCCTTACCCCACTCAATGCCAATATCCCATCCCGCAGCACGCTTTAAAAGGATTACAGCCTGTTATCACGCACCTGCTACAGCATGGCCTTTTAAAGCCTGTAAACTCCCCTTACAATTCCCCCATTTTATCTGTCCTAAAACCAGACAAGGCTTACAGGTTAGTTCAAGATCTGTACCTTATCAACCAAATTTTCTTGCCTATCCACCCCATAGCGCCAAACCCATATACTCTCCTATCCTCAATACCTCACTCCACAACCCAGTATTCTGTTCTGGATCTCAAACATACTTTCATTACTATTCCTTTACACCCTTCATCCCAGCCTCTCTTCACTTTCACTGAGACTGACCCTGACACCCATCAGGCTCAGCAAATTACCTAGGCTGTACTGCTGCAAGGCCTCACGGACAGCCCCCATTACTTCAGTACCTTGTGTCTTCCATTTAGTTTTTCAATTCATACAAAACCACATCTAGGCCATCACCAATCATTCAATACGACAAATCTTTCTTCTCACGACCCCACAATATCACCCCTTACCACAAAATCTTCCTTCCGCTTAATCTCTCCCACTCTAGGTTCCCACACCGCCCCTAATCCCGCTTGAAGCAGCCCTGAGAAACATCGCCCATTCTCTCTCCATGCCACCCCAAAAATTTTCGCCGCCCCAACGCTTACTGCAATACTATTTTGTTTTATTTTTCTTATTAATATAAGAAGGCAGGAATGTCAGGCCTCTGAGCCCAAGCCAAGCCATCGCATCCCCTGTGACTTGCACGTATATACGCCCAGATGGCCTGAAGTAACTGAAGAATCAAAAAAGAAGTGCAAATGCCCTGCCCCGCCTTAACCGATGACATTGCACCACAAAAGAAGTGAAAATGGCCAGTCTTTGCCTTAAGCGATGATATTATCTTGTGAAGTTCCTTTTCCTGGCTCATCCTGGCTCAAAAAGCTCCCCCACTGAGCACCTTGTGACCCCCACTCCTGCCCGCCAGAGAACAACCCCCCTTTGACTATAATTTTCCTTTACCTACCCAAATCCTATAAAACAGCCCCACCCTTATCTCCCTTTGCTGACTCTCTTTTCGGACTCAGCCCGCCTGCACCCAGGTGAAATAAACAGCCATGTTGCTCACACAAAGCCTGTTTGGTGGTCTCTTCACACGGACGCGCATAACATGAACTACTTGCAATAACCATCTTTTTCCCTTTGTACTGTTCTCTTATTCTGTTCTCTCTCTTAGGACATTTCGCTTGCTACCTAAAGAAGTACCCTCTTCCCAAAGGCATCTGGCCACCTTCTTCCTGTTATGGAATATCTCTGTATCATCTCCCGCCACAATCCGTGGCAATGCTGCCTGATGTCAACCCAATGCGTACACTCCCTTGCCTGTGAACTTTGCTTATGCTAGTCTCCACTCCATAAATACCATCCCGCATCTTCTCTTGCTTTTCAAGCTCCACTTCCTCTACATTTTTCCCTGCTACCACAGTGAATGCTATGGTTGAAAGTTGATTTTTCTGCACTTAATGCTTACATTTGGAATTTATTGCTTCCTTCCAAATCATTTCACATGTGTCTATTTTGCATCTCCAGAAATCGTGCTAGAGATTTCTAACACATTCCATTCCTGTGAGATTCTTTAGTTCCCTCCCCCAACCCCCCAACTCCCCACTAGGTACAGAGGCTGGACTGAGGAGACTCAAGCGCAGGCTCAAAACAGAAACAATTTCCTTCAGTCTCTGAGTACAAAAGCAAAACTATTCAGGGACCAGCATGCTTACCCGGGGGGGAAAGCATTTTAAATATCACATGTCATTTGAAACTTAACCCAACAACTACATCAAATGAGTCATCTTTGAAATACAAAGGAAAGTTGAGTTGCTTCATAGGGCAGCAAGGCCTTGATGCTACCACCAGTGATTCTCACAGGTTGGGATTAAGAGCAGATATTCCTCAGTTTTTAAGGCTAGGTTTAGCAGCTGGCTATAGGGTCCAGGCACAGAGTGAAGAAAACAGAGTACTGAAGAACACCCCCCTGAAAGCAACTGTTTGTTCATGAAACAAGCAAAAAGAGACACACTCACCTTTGCTGAAACTCACTCTAGAGGAACACAACATGCATAACTGTGGCACTAGCGAGACAGACAGATCATGCCTGGGGCTCCAGCCCCTAATGCAATCTACCTAGCTGGAGGAGACACAAAGAATTGTTAAGGCGCTAAATCTGACAACACACCAGCAACAAGATGAACACCCAGAACGCAGTGACTGCTGGAGGGTTTGTAGGCACCCAGGCCGAACAGATGGAACATGGAGTCATGGAAGGGCAGAGACACACAAACATCACGGCTTCCTGAAAAAGAAGCCTTTTATGTCAGCCTCAGAGGCATTGCATTCTTGGAAAGTTGTTCGTGTCACTTTGAAGTTTGTCACATTCAAGAGAAGCAAAGAAATATATGATGGGTGATTGCCCATTATTTTCAGAGGAAATGCATCTCAAACTGTGGACCTTTTATCTCCCCTTCATAGCTAATTTCCACTTACCATCTGCATGGATCTCTTGTGTCAAACAAAAAGAGAAGTGTGGGAATGTGTGAGTGCTTAGTAAGTTGATGGGCTCTTCAGGGAACTAGCCACACAAATGCACTCTTTCTTTTTTTTTTTTTAATTATTATACTTTAAGTTCTAAGGTACATGTGCACAACATGCAGTTTTGTTATATATGTATACATGTGCCATGTTGGTGTGCTGCACCCATTAACTCATCATTTACATTAGGTATATCTCCTAATGCTATCCCTCCCTCCTTCCCTCCTCCCCACAATAGGACCCGGTGTGTGATGTTTCCCCTCCTGTGTCCAGGTGATCTCATAAGTTCAATTCCCACCTATGAGTGCGAACATGCAGTATTTGGTTTTCTGTTCTTGCGATAGTTTGCTGAGAATGATGGTTTCCAGCTGCATCCATGTCCCTACAAAGGACACGAACTCATCCTTTTTTATGGCTGCATAGTATTCCATGGTGTCTATGTGCCACATTTTCTCAATCCAGTTTGTCACTGATGGACATTTGGGTTGATTCCAAGTCTTTGCTATTGTGAATAGTGCCGCAATAAACATACATGTGCATGTGTCTTTATAGCAGCATGAATTATAATCCCTTGGGTATATACCCAGTAATGGGATGACTGGGTCAAATGGTATTTCTAGCTCTAGATCCTTGAGGAATCGCCATACTGTTTTCCACAATGGTTGAACTAGTTTACAGTCCCACCAACAGTGTAAAAGTGTTCCTATTTCTCCACATCCTCTCCAGCACCTGTTGTTTCCTGATTTTTTAATGATTGCCATTCGAACTGGTGTGAGATGGTAACTCATTGTGGTTTTGATTTGCATTTCTCTGATGGCAAGTGATGATGAGCATTTTTTCATGTGTCTGTTGGCTGTAAGAATGTCTTCTTTTGAGAAGTGGCTGTTCATATCCTTTGCTCACTTTTTGATGGGGTTGTTTGGTTTTTTCTTGTAAATTTGATCGAGTTCTTCATAGGTTCTTGATATTAGCCCTTTGTCAGATGAGCAAATTGCAAAAATTTTCTCCCACTCTGTAAGTTGCCTGTTCACCCTGATGGTAGTTTCTTTTGCTGTGCAGAAGCTCTTTAGTTTAATTAGATCCCATTTGTCAATTTTGGCTTTTGTTGCCGTTGCTTTTGGTGTTTTAGACATGAAGTCCTTGCCCATGCCCATGTCCTCAATGGATAGAGACACAAAAAACCCTCCAAAAAATCAATGAATCCAGGAGCTGGTTTTTTGAAAAGATGAACAAAATTGATACACCACTAGCAAGACTAATAAAGAAGAAAAGACAGAAGAATCAAATAGACACAATGAAAAATGATAAAGGGGATATCACAAACACACTCTTTCTAACAGCTGCCATCTCTGTTCAAGGGGAAAATCTAAAACTGATACTACCTTGAAACTGATTCATAGTAAACATGTTCCCTTCATGTTTTCTTTATGTCTGGGGGCACATTAGCAGTTTAATTTTTATTGAATTATAATTAGCAAAAGGTGATTTATTTTAGAAACTTTCCAAATTAGGGAAATTAAAGATTTTTCCCCAGTAATTTTTTGTGTGTAATTTTCCTTGAGTTTTCGTTTATCTTTTAATGCTTCAGCAAATGAACAAACAACCTTTAAAAATCCCTCTTGTGGAGAAGCAACTGTTGACAAATTTCTACTGATGTGACAGAAATCCCTCTGCAAAAAATACTGTAAATTATGGATGGTGGCTTTTGGATGCTATGTCTCACAAAAGATGAATAATCAGTTAGAGAATGGAGATGGGGAAAATGAAAAAGAAATCCCCACTTTCAGTTTTTAATTTCCAGTTAACAAACACAACATTTCTTTTAAAACAAAGGTTAATGAAAAGAAGCATAGGCCAGGCGCAGTGGCTCACGCCTGTAATCCCAGCACTTTGGGAAGCCGAGGCGGGCGGATCATGAGGTCAAGAGATTAAGACCATCCTGGCCAACATGGTGAAACCCTGTCTCTACTAAAAATACAAAAATTAGTTGGGCCTGGTGCCACGCACCTGTAGTCCCAGCTACTTGGGAGGCTGAGGCAGGAGAACTGCTTGAACCTGGGATGCAGAGGTTACAGTGAGCAGAGATCATACCACTGCACTCCAATCTGGCGACAGAGCGAGACTCCGTCTCAAAAAGAAGAAGAAAAAAAGGCTGGGTGCTGTGGCTCATGCCTGTAATCCCAGCACTTTAGGAGGCTGAGGAGGGTGGATCACCTGAGGTCAGAAGTTCAAGACCAGCCTGGCCAACATGGTGAAACCCTGTCTCTATTAAAAATGCAAAACTTAGTTGGGTGTGGTGGCTGGTGGTGGGCACCTGTAATCCCAGCTACTTGGGAGGCTGAGGCAGGAGAATCATTTGAACCTGGGAGGCAGAGGTTGTGGTGAGCTGAGATTGTACCACTACACTCCAGCCTGGGAGACAAGAGTGAAACTCTGTCTCAAAAAAGAAAAAAAAAAAAAGCATAAATAATTTTTATTCTGTGAATCTGTGAAGCTGTCTTTCAAGTTATGGTCCCCAATTCTTTCCGTTTCAATCTGTAAGTCATAAAGACCAGATACATTGTCAATAACAATCTTTTATTTATATAAACTGTGCAGAAAAGTTTATAGGTGATAATTGATCCTTTATCCTATGAGCCACAAAAATTAAGCCTCAAAGTTGAGCCACCGTACTGTCTAAAAGGCAAAAACTTATTTTAGAAATGGCCCATATGGCTACAGTTTGAGCTTTTAGTACTGACAGGCAGCTATGGGGAGCCAGATGGTGACATAGGTAGCATTCCAACATCATACATCTTCTTCATTAAATTAAGTTTTCATATAAGAAACTTTAAATATAATGGGATACAATTATCTTGGGAATCGCAAACGTGCAATGTGCCTTGCTGTTTATTTTATTTGTGTCCTATTTTGGTACATAATTATTAACTAGAATTGTGGAATATGTTAGATGCAATCATATATTTGATAATATTGGTGGAATGTTAATTACCTATTATATGATTATTAAATGAATTTCCCTGTGTTAGGCAAATATAAATGGAGAAAAGACAAATATAATCAAAATATCCCAACCTAGACAAAGGGTTAGTCAATCAGGACTAAGTTTTGCTGCATATATTAGAAACCTTAAATAACAGTGCATAAAGAAGATATTTTTCACTGAAGAAACAGAAATTCAGAGGCTGATGATCCAGGACTGGAAAGGAAGCCCCAGGGTCTTTAGGGACCAGCCTTCTTCAACCCTCCATGCCATCATCTTTAGTGTGCGGTTTGCATCCTCAAGGATGGCATCATGGCCCAAGATGGTGCAGTGCTGTGTGCAGTGCTGTGTACAGTGCTGTGTTTCAAGCCTGAAGAAGAGTGGTAGGCATGGCTGAAATGGTACCAGTCTCATTACCAAGGCTTCCTCAGAAGTTCCAACCAATGCCTTCTGTTTGTATTTCATTAGCCACTCCTTTCCCAGGGAAGAAAACTGGGAAATATAGTTGTTTTCAGCTAAGGATTTGGCTGCCTCCCAAAAAACAAATGGCCCACAGGAATTCTGGTAGTAAGGAATAGAAGGAGAATGGATATTGGGGAGAGAACAAAAAGTGTCTGCCACAGGTTTAAAGAATCCCATTTACGAAAATGAGTATGGATACAGGGGCCAGAATAGCTAGATGTTCTTGTGGAGTAAACATCAAAACAAGGCAAGGGAAGTCTTTGGGCCAATATGAGGAAGGACAAAAGAATTTCAGCATTCGAGAGTCAGAGGATTTCCAATAAGAAATGAAGGAGTCACTGATCAATTGCTAATGGTCACCTTGCCTTTGTGAGAGCTAAGGAAAGAACTAATTGCTGATTCTTAACCAACATCCACAACATCAAGAAACAGAGTGATAAAACAAAGAAGGCTCCGTGCCAACTCAGGCATTTCTCAAGCGTCTGGGAGATGTCAAGCAGGCCTGATCCTGCAGTTCCATACCTTCTCTAAGAAGGCCACTTTTAGAGACTATGCAAGGCCAGGCATCTAGAGTGGGTCTGAAACAGGCACCTGTCATTGCACCCATTGTTTTCTATACTGGGTGACCCTCAGGCCTGCAGAGCATTCACTGAGAAGTAAAAGCCCATGCATCATGGGGCAAAGAGGGTCTTCCCTACGTCCTGGCCGCTATCACATTCCAACAGACGGACTTCTGCCTTAAGAGCCTGGATGTCAAAAATGCATACCTGAGGAGCCTGTCTGTGGTGGGAGGTGGGGCCAGGTAATAGGGGGTTGGAATAAGCTCTTCCTGCTGCTCAAGCAGCCATGCCCTTTCTTGGAGTTCTCTAATGTTCTGAGAGTCTGGGTTGAAATCAAAGCCAGATGCCCCAGGTAGACTAGAGTTGCAGGGTCTCTGAGCCCAAACAAAATGCAATGATGGAGGAGAGGCCTGGAGTACCCAGAACATCTGGCATTCAAGATCAAGCAGTTTAGAATAAGGTGAAGCTACATCTTGAGGGGTTTAATCACCACATAGGGCTCATTTGTACATTTTTAGAAAGTGGCTTACGCCTTCTTAAACTTTGCTCAGATCTCCTTTCCTGCAAGTCAGGGGTTCCCTCCTCACTCGCCTCTCCTGGGCATTATTCCAAACATCAAGAATAGTATTTGTTTCCTAAGGCTGCCATAACAAAATACCATAAACTAGGTGGCTTAAAACAATAGAAATCTATTCTGTCACAGTTCTGGAGGTCAGAAGTCCAAAATCAAGGTGCTGGCAGGTGTGGCTCTTCCTGCAGGCTCTGAAGGAGAATTGTTTCACACTTCTCTCCTAGCTTTTGGTGGCTACTGGCAATTCTTAGTATTCCTTGGCTTGTAAACATATCACTTTGATATCTGCCTCTACATTCATCCAAACTTTCCCTTTCTATGTCTCTAAAGACCCTCTGTCATTGAATTTAGAGCTCACCCTAAATCCAGGTTGACTTAATGCCAAGAGTCTTAACTTAATAAAATCTTCAAAGACCCTGTTTTCAAATAAAGTCACAGTCCCAGACACTGGAGGTTAGAACTTGGACTATTCAACCCACTATGAGAAATAAAAACAAAATAGCAAACCAGAATAAGCCAAATTCTCTCATCTCTCAAAATTTTAAAGTATGAGCTGCCCAAAATTGTGATTTCAATAGTATTAATGCTATGAGTCTCTGACACAATCTTTCCTTTCTGCTAAAATACATATGGAGACACCAGAAAAACATAAAAATTAAAAAATAAATTACATAACCACAGAGGCCAAAAATAAGTTAGCAACTTTTTGCCAGAATCTAGGAGCATGTCTACCAGCTTCAAAGCCTATGAAGCTTGTTTGAGAAAATTGGCTGGTGGTTTACACTCTGCCCTTTGAAACCAAGAGCCATGCTAGTCTGGAAGTGGCAGTATGTCAGGAGGTCCTCAAACCTCCCCTACATTTGACAATTCACTAGCAAGACTCCAAAGACTCAGCATATAGTTGTAGTCAGAGGTATGAGCTATAACAACAAAAGGGCACCAAGCACATTCAGCAAAGTCAAAAGGCCCCTGGGGTGAAGTAAGAGGGAAAGCAGGCACAGGTTTCCAAGATTTCTTACCCAGTGGAAACACACTGGGCATGTTTAATTTCCCCAGCAACAAGCCATCACAACATGCGTGAAATGTAGCCAACCAGGGAGGCTTGTTAGACTCAATGACCAAGGCTTTTGCTGGGGGATGTCCCCATATGCAACCTCCTGCCCGGCACACACCCAAACTGTAAACTCTCAGAAGGAAAGGAGGTGTTCAGCATAAACCACCTTGTGTGTAAAAACAGTTTGGGCACGGTGAGCCACTCTTATCAGTTCATAGTGGGAATCTAGGTTCCCAGATGAGAGCCAAGGGCCACCCTTTGAAGCAGGCCTTTTCAAGGACAGAAGTTTAGTTCTACTCTGCTAACTCTTTTCTGCATAGGAAGGTTGAGAAAAGATTGTGCCTTCCTTCCCCCTATGTCTTCCCTGACCCAGAGATGCAAAGTGTCAGGAAACAACCACCACCCCCAGGCTCTGCAGGATGCTTTGAAGCAGGTAGGGTTTGGAGCTTGCCTTTATACCCTCAGGCTCCTTTCTACCTATGTCCATTTAGAAACCAAGACTGTGTTACTCAAAAGTAAATAGAAGAGAGGAAGGGGACCATAGAAACCCCTTGCATTCCAATAGGTAGGGTCGCTACACATGACAGGGTCTAGGTAGAAACAGGGATGGTAGGGTGCTGGGAGCAGTGTAGACTCTTTTCCCCTGTATCGCATGAAAAGATCATGACCAGGCTGGGGATGGGGAGCAAGTGGTAATAGAGAAGAACCAATGTCATCCCTGCAGAATCAGTGTTTTCCTCTTTTTTTTTTTTTTTTTTGGATAGTCTGTCTCTGTTGCCCAGGCTGGAGTGCAGTGGTGCAATCTAGGCTCACTTGTAACATCTGCCTCCTGTACTCAAGCCATCCTACTACCTGAACCTCCCAAGCAGCTGGCACTACAGGTGCACGCCAAAATGCCCAGCTAATTTTTGCATTTTGTGTAGAAACAGGCTTTTGCTGTGTTGCCCAGGCTGGTCTTGAACTCCTGAACTCAAGTGATCCAGCTGCTTTGGCCTCCCAACGTGCTGGGATTACAGGAGTAAGCCACCCCGCTTGGCCAGAATCAGTGTTTTTCAAACATGCTGCTATGTGCCCTGAGATTCCCCAAAAATATCTCCCACTACAGGGAGAAAGGACAGGTCAAAGGATGGGCTCAGCACATCTCCAAAACTCATTCAGGGCAAGTCCACTTTTTCCTATTTGCAATAACAAGCTTATACATAATTTTTCATATATGAAATAGGCTTCTTGACAAAAAAGAATAAGCAATTTAAAATCATTGCACTAGATGAGTGTCTGCCAGACAGTGGGAAGTGTTTTAGTTACTGAGACATCAACTAAGCTGCAGGCACAGAACTAGGAGGGAGATTGTATTAGCACCAAGCAGACAATGAAAGCAGACCACTCTTACCTTTTCTTTGGAAAACACCAAGCCTGATAACCTGGTTACCCACAGAGGAAGTAAATCTTCTCTTCTGCAAATACAAATGCTAGAAAATGACAGAAAAATAACTAGTGGTTTTTAAGCTCTTAGACATGAGTTCCATCAAGTAGATGATGAAAGCTATAAACAACAACAAAAATGAACACACACTTGTGCAATACTCTGGTATAACAACTACAAAAGGTTCACAGATCCTCCTGAAGTTCGTATCCATGTTTAGAACCTCATAGAGCTTCAGAGCCCATTTTAAATGGAAAGACAGACCTAGTCCAGTTGTTACTCAGTTTTGAAACTAAAAGAAAGACATTCTTATAAATGCAATTATATGAAAATATTTATTCAACAAATATTAAATATCAATAACGCTTTAGGGCCAGGGAAACTGTGAATAAGCAGACAAGTCAGTTTCTTTTGTAGAGCTTGTATCTTTTAAGAGGGAAACAGATGTAAACAGGAAAATAAATAAATGCCTGAGATAATGTCAAGTAACTGCTGTGAAAAAGGGCCTACTTGACAAGATGATCAAGTTTGAACTAAGATCCAAATGACTAGAATGAGCAAATCAAGTGAAAATCTAAATACGGAGCATTCCAGTAGCGGAAACAGCAAGTACCAATGCCCTGGGGTGGAAATGAGCCTGTTATGTTAAAAAATAGCACAGAAGTCCAGAGAGTAGGGTCAGTGAGGAGGAGATAAGGTTGCAGAAGAAGCAGGGCCAGATTCTGAAGCGTTCCAGGGGTCATGGTAGCCAATTAAGCTTACATCCTAAGTACAGTGGAAAGCTGTTGAAGAGTTTCAATAAAGAGAAACATTCTCCAATTTGCAATTTTTTCACAATTTTTTTTCTTGTGGTAAATACACATAACAAAATATACTGACTTGACTATTTTTACATCTATAGTTCGGTAGTGTTAAATACATTCATAATGTTGCACAACCATCACCACTGTCCATCTCTAGAACTCTTTTCATTTGCAGAACTGAAACTCTGTAACCATTAAACAATAACTCCCCATTCCTCCCTCCTTCCAGTCCCTGGCAACCACCATTCTACTTTCTGTCTCTACAGTTTTTTTTAGGAGGGTCTTGCTCTATCACCCGGGCTGGAATACAATGGCACATTAGCCTTGAACTCCTAGGTTCAAGCAATCCTCTCACCTCAGCCTCGCAAGTAGCTGGGACTACAGGCACACACTACCACACCAAGCTAATTTTTTTAAGAGATTGGTCATGCTATGTTGCCCAGGCTGGTCTCAAACTCCCAGCCTTCAAGTGATCCTCCTGCCTCAGCCTCCCTGATCTCTGCAATTTTGATTGCTCTAAATATTTTATGTAAGTGGAATCAAGGAGTATTTGTCTTATTGTGACTGGCTTAGTTCACTCAGCATAATGTCTTCCAGGTTCACTTATGCTGTAGTATGTCAGATTTGCCTTCCTTTTTAAGGCAGAATAATATCCCATTGTATGTATATTTACTGCTGTCCTTTTGCTACTTGTTTTCTACATACCTTATAGCTTCTTTTTGTCCTTCATTTCCTTCATTACTTACTCTGTATGTATTTAGTTGTTTTTTTAATAGTGAAGCATTTACATTTCTTTCTCATTTCCTTTTGTGTATATTCTATAGCTACTTTCTCTGTGGTTACCATGGAGATTACATTTAACATTCTAAAGTTATAATAATCTAATTTGAATTTATACAGCTTAACTTCAATAACATACAAAAACTCTGCTCCTTTACAGCTCAGTCCCCACCTCTTTCAGTTGTTGATATCACAGAATTACATCCTTATGCATAATCTATACAAAAACATAAACTAACAATTCTTTTTAATGCATTAGTCTTTTTATTGTGGTAAGAACACTTAACTTTAGATCTGTCCTGTTATTAAATGTTTAAGTGCGCAATATAACATTGTTAACTATAAACACAATGTTGTACGGCAGATCTGTAGAGCTTATTTGTCTTCTGTTACTGAAACCGCATACTCCTTGAACAGCAGTCCCCCATTCCTCCCTTCTGCTAGCTCCTGGCAACCTACTACTCCATTCTCTATTTCTATGGCTTTGAATATTTTAGATATTTCATATACATTGAATAATGCAGTATTTGTCCTTGTGTTCCTGGCTTATCTCATTTAGAATAAGGTCCTCCAAGCTCATCCATTTGTCACATATTACAGAATGTTCTTTTTAAAGGCTGAATAGTATTTAATGTATGTATATACCACATTTATTTATCTGTGCATCTCTCAATGGACATTTGGGTTACTTCCATATTTGGGTATTATGAATAATGCTGCAATGAACATGAGAGTGCAGATATCTCTTTGAGAGACTGATTTCAGTTATTTTGGATTAGCTTCTCTTTTGGAAACCACCAATCTGATAATGGCTAATTCAAATTCTCATCCAAGATGTGGAATTTTTTGGTCATATGGTAATCCTATTTTAATTTTTTTGTGGAACTTCCATACTACTTTCCATAGTAGCTGCACCAATTTACATTCCCACCAAAAACGTACAAGAGTTCCCTTGTCTCCACACTGTTGCCAACACTTGTTATTTTGTGTATGTTTTTTATGTAACAGCTATCCTAACAGATATAAAGTGATATTTGATTGTGGTTTTGATTTGTAGTCCCAGATAATTAGTAATATTGAGCATCTTTTCATATACCTGTTAGCCATTTGTATGTCTTCTGTGGAAATATGTCTATTTAACTCCTTTGTCCAATTTTCAATCTAGTTATCTGGTTTTGGGTTTTGGTTTGTTTGAGGTTTTTGCAATTAAGTTATAGGAGTTCCTTACGGATTTTGAATATTAATCCTTATCAGATATGTGGTTTGCAAATATTTTCTCCCATCCATAGATTGCCTTTCCAGTCTGTTGTTTCCTTTGCTGTGCAGAAGCTTTTAGGTTTGATATAGCCCCACTTGCCTATTTTTGCTTTTGTTGCTTGTGCTTTTGGTGTCATAGCTAAGAAATCATTGCCAAGACCAATATCAGAAAACTTTTTCCCTATGTTTTCTTCTAGGAGTTTTACAGTTTCAGGTCTTACATTTAAATATTTCATTCATTTTGAGTTTATTTTTGTGTACAGTATAAGATAAGGGTACAAATTTATTATTTTACATGTGGATATCCATTTTCCCAACACCATTTGTTGAAGAAACTATCCTTTCCCCCTTGCACATTCTTGGCACCCTTATCAAAGAAAAGTTGATGCCAGACATGTGGGTTTATTTCTGGGCTCTCTATTCTGCTTCACTGAGCTTATGTCTGCTTTTATACTAGTATTACACTGTGTTAATTACTGTAGTTTTGTAATATATTTTTGAATCAGGAAGGATGTTGTCTCCAGCTTTGTTCTTCTTTCTCAAGATTGTTTTGGCTATTTGAGGTCTATATATGATTTGAGGTCTATATATTATATATGATTTTGTGGTTCTATATGTGATTTTTTTGGATTTTTATTTTTTAAAAATTGTCATTGGGATTTTGATAGGGACTACATTGAATCTGTAGATTGCTTTGGGTAATATGGCCATTTTAATAATGTTAATTCTTCCAATCCATGAACACAGGACATCTTTTCATTTATTTGTGACTTCTTTAATATTTTCATCAATATTTTATAGTTTTCAACGTACAATCTTTTACCTCCTTGGCTAAGTTTATTTTTAAGTATTTTATTCTTTTGTTGTTATTATTAATGGGGTTGTTTTCTAGATTTTTTTAAGACAATCACTGTTAATTTATAGAAATGTAACTGATTTCATATGTTGATCTTGCATCCTGTAATTCTCCTGATTTCACTTATTAGTTCTAACAATTTTTGGTGAAGCCTTTACCGTTTACTATATACAAGATTATGTCATCTGAAAAGATAATTTTACTTCTCTCTTTCTGACTTGGAGGTCTTTTATTTCTTTCTCTTGACTAATTGCCCTGACTAGGACTTCTAGTACTATGTTGAATAGAAGTGGCAAAAGTAGGTACCCTTGTCTTGTTCCTAACTTTAGAGGAAAAGCTTTCAGTTTTTTTACCATTAAGTATCATGTTTGTTTTGGGCTTTTCATATATAGCACTTATTATATTGAGATAAATTCCTTCCAACTTGATAAGACTTTTTATCATGAAAAGATATTGAATTTTGTCAAATGCTTTTTCTGCATCTATTGAGATAAAAATGTTATTTTCATCCTTCATAATATGAGATTTTATCCTTCTGTTGGTATGGCTTGTCACATTTATTGATTTGCATGTGCTTGATCATGCTTGCATCTTAGGGATAAATATCACTTGGTCATAAGGTATGATCTTTTTTTTTTTTTTCTTTGAGACGGAGTCTTACTCTGTCGCCCAGACTGGTGTGTAGTGGCGCAATCTCGGCTCACTGCAACCTCTGCCTCCCAGGTTCGAGCAATTCTCCTGCCTCAGCCTTCCGAGTAGCTGGGATTACAGGCATGCGTCACCAGGTTTGGCTTATTTTTGTATTTTTAGTAGAGACAGGGTTTCCCCATGTTGGCCAGGCTGGTCTTGAACTCCTGGCCTCAGGTGATCCACCAGCCTCGGTCTCCCAAAGTACTGGGATTACAGACATGAGCCACCATGCCCAGCTGGGTATGATTCTTTTAATGAGCTGTTGAATTCCGTTTGCTAGTATTTTGTTGAGGATTTTGCATCTATGTTCATCAGAGATATTGGACCGTGGCTTTCTTTTCATGTAGTGTCTTTTTACGACTTTGGTCTCAAGGTCACGCTGGCATTATAAAATAAGTTTGCAAATATTCCCTCTTCCATTTTTTTTGGAAGAGTTTAAAAAGGATTTGTATTAATTCTTTTTTAAATGTTTGATGGAATTTACTAGTGAAGTCACCTGGTCATAGGTTTTTCTTGATTAGGAGGTTTTAGATTATTAATGCAATCTCCTTGTTTGTTAGTGGTCTGTTCAAGTTTTCTATTTCTTTATGATTCAGCCTTTGTAAGTTTCATGATTTTAATAATTCATCCATTTCTTCTCAGTTATCCAATTTGTTGGCATCGAATTGTCCATAATAATACCTTCTGATCCTTTTCAATTCTCTGGCATCAGTTGTAAAGTCTTTTTCATTTCTGATTTTATTTGAGTCTTCTCCTTTTTTTCTTAGAAAAAAAATTTCAAAAAAATCAAATCATTTTCATTTCAAAACATCCACTCTTAATTTTGATTTTTTTCTCCTCTCTATTTAATTTACCTCTGCTCCAAGTTTTATTATTTTCTTTCTTCTGCTAGCATTGGGCTTAATTTATTCTGCTTCTAATTTCTTGGGGGTATAAAATTAGGTAGTTTATTTGATGGCCTTCTTCTTTTTTACTGTAGACATTTATTGCTATTAACTTCCCTCTTAGTACTGCTTTTGCCGCATCCCATAAGTTTTGATATGTTTTCATTTTAGTTTGTCTCAAGATGTATTCTAATTTCTCTTTTGATTTCTTCTTTGATTCAATATCTGTTAAGAATGTGTTATTTTCACACATTTGTGAATTTTCCAGTTTTTCTTCTGTTACTGATTTCTAGTTTCATTCCACTGTATTTGGAAAAGATATTTGGTATGTTTTCAGTCTTCTTAAATTTGTTAAAACTTTTTGTAACCTAACATATGATCTATCCTGGAGAGGGCTTCATGTTACTTGAAAAGAATGTATATTCTGGTGCTGTTGTGTAGAATGTTTTGTGTGTGCCTGTTAAGTCTATTGATCTACAGTGTTGTTCAATTTCTTATTTCCTTATTGATTTTCTGCCTGAACATTCTAACCATTATTGAAAGTGGAATGTTAAAGTCTCCTAGTATCACTGTATTACTATTTTTCCTTTCTGATCTATCAATGTCTGCATTCAGATGTTCTGGGGTTAGGTGCATATATATGTTTATAATTATTATATCTTCCTGATAAATTCACATTTTAATTATTATATAATAATCTTCTTTGTCTCTTGTCAGAGTTTTTGACTTAAGCTTTATTTTGTCTGATATAATTAAACCACTCTGCCCTCTTTTGATTACCATTTGCATAGAATATCTTTTTCCATCCCTTCATTTTCAGCCTGTGCATGCCCTTAAAGCTAAAGTGTTTTGTAGATAAGATCTAGTTGGATCTTGGTGGGTTTTTTAATCCATTCATCCACTCTATGTCTTTTTATTGGAAGTTGAATCCACTTGCGTTTCAAGGAATTATTGCTGGGTAAGAACTTACTGTTGCCATTAAATTGTTTTCTCTCTGCTTTGTAATTCTTTTGTCTTTCTCTTCCTCTCCTGTTTTCCTTTGTGACTTATTATTTTTTTAAGTGAGCAGGTTTTGATTCCTTCCTCTTTTTGTGTGTATATCTACTCAAGGTATTTCTTAGTGGTTTCCATGAGGCTTACATAAAACATCCTATAATTATATTAGTTTATTTTAATCTGATAACATCTTAACTTTAAGTACACACAAAAACTCTACTTTTATTTCTCTCCTACCTCACATTTTATACTATCGATATCACAATTTACATCCTTACTGTATA